TTTAGTTGAGACAATCTATTTTCCATTTGTTTATTCTGATTAGTTTGGCAATACACTCATTCTTCATTTATAAAGGGTAATCCTCTCAAGAGTGGATGCGTTATGAAGGTCTCTGCGTCGTGTGGAGGGACAGCGTGGATGTGGCACAGCCTGGATTAAAATGTCTGAGTCCTGTGTCAGATTTGGCCAGCTCAGATACACATCTGTCGAGGGGAGAAGGAACCCAAACCAAGAAAAAGAGGATTTTGTCAGGCTGGGTTCTCTTGAGACTTTGGACTGAGATGAAGATGAGTAACAGCTCAGTTACCCTGAGGTCACACAGCTGGCTCTTTCAGCCAGTAATCTGCCAGTGGTCAAGGAGGACAGCACAAGGCGTGTGGGGGCGCTTCGGAGACCTCATGTAACTGACAGCCTGGCTTCCCAGCCAAAGAAAATTTAGGACAGCAAATGTAGGATGTGGCCCTGGGGTTTGAAGGAGTGTGGTTAGCAGTTCTGCCTAGTGAGGGAGAGAGAGAAGCATTAAGTGTAAGAACTTTAGTGAGGGGGGGAATATTTCCACATAAGTAAGATCAAAACACTTTAGTCACTTCCTAGTACATCACCTTATGAATGAACACAGTATTGTTCTTAACAAGGATTTGAAATTCCTAAGAGAAAGTTATGGCCAGCTAGCTCTTTCTTTTGGGGGGGTCAGAGTATCACTTCGTTGCCATCTCAATCTGTCGCCCAGGCTGGAGTGCAGTGGCATGCTCATGGCCACTGCATCCTCGACCTGCTGGGCTCAGATGATCCTTCCACCTCAGCCTTCCGAGTAGCTGGAACTACAGGTGCGTGCTACCATGCCGGGTTAATTTTTGATTTATTGTAGAGGCGATGTCTCGCCAAGTTGCCTTGCTGACTGGTCTCGAACCCGCGGGTTTAGGCAGTCTACTGCCTTGGCCTCTCAAAGTGCTGGGATGACAGGCTGAGCCACCAAGCCCTTCCCCAGCTAGCTCTTTATTGGAGTAAGATGATGTGAAATTTCCATCCACAGTCATGACACATGAAGTAAGCTTTGATTCTTTTTTTTGTAGCTGGGGTTTCGTTCTGTCGTCCAGGCTAGAGTACAGTGGCACACTCACGATTTACTGCAGCCTCGACCTCCTGCGTTCATGTGATCCCTCTACTTCAGCCTACAGAGTAGCTGGGACTATAAGCGTGCAACCATGCCCAGCTAATTTTTTGATTTATTGTAGAGATGAGGTCTCACTATGTTGTCCAGGTTGGTCTCGAATTGGGCTCAAGCAGTCCTCCTGCTTCAGCCTCCCATATTGCTAGGATTACAACATTACAGGGGCATTACAGGCGTGAGTCACTGTGTTGGCCAAGCTTTGGTTCTTAAAATTAATTGTATGCATGGAAAGCCCTCCACATTCATTGCTTTATCTTTTAATCCCGTTAAAAAAGCTTTGTCTGCTTGCATTCCCGAGGTCTCCCCAAAGCTGAGGTGAGCCACATCTGTGGAGAGTTGAGTACACGTGTGGTTTTGTCTCTGTTGCCAGGTACAACACAGGAGGCTCACTTTGGGAGAGCTGTCACCATGGAGCGACGAGTACACATGGCCAGTCTTCCCAGGTCTCCTAGCCCAATGTAACTTGCTGTAGCTGTGGATGGTTTTGTAGTGTGCTTTCCCTGACTTACAACCTGATTATATGACTTTCCATTTGGAGGACTCAGTACTTTCCCTCTTCGTCACTGTAGAATAACCAAAAAGATACTACTGTGAACTCTGTGTTTTATGTTTTCATTCCTTTATACCTCTCCTTCTTGACTTATCTCTAGTTATTTCTGTGGACCATGGACTGAATTGTTTCTGTTCCACAGTCATTTTAAGGGGCAGCTTGGAAAGCAGTTGCCTTGTTAAGTAGCTGGGCCCTTCTTTGCTTAGAGACAACTTATTGCTTTTTTCTGTATGTCTCTTACATTCTGGACAAATGAAAGTATCCTGTGTTTGTGCATGGGGCATTGACACGGGTGTTTAAATATTGTTGGCCCCATCTAGCTGCAGGTTACCTTGTATTGCCATCAGGATCAAGTCTCGTTTACCTCTGCTGGAACTGTTAGGGATTGTAAAACGCCTTGGATTTTAACAGGTTGGAGGACAAGGGTAAAGAAGCAGCATTGTTCATGAATTAGCGAGACTGTGACAGTGTTCATAGTGGTTTTTATTTCTTCCATTTTTCTCCATGATTAATGGTGTGACTGTTGGGTGGTTGAGTTGAGACCCTAGGAGTTGCTAATGCTAATGTTCATTAGCTCCCACTGGATGCTTTCCTGGGAGTTCCCCGTCTCCTCTTCCCCGGCACCCTTCCCAATCCCCTGCAGTGACCACTGATCATTATCTGAAGCAGACAGTCCATCATTTAGCAGAGAAAAAGCTTGAGTCCTCTCACCCAAAGTTGCCTGTGAAGTTTTCAAAAGCAAGTACGATGATCTCCTTGTACTTGTGGACTTGGTTTCTTTGGGGGTAAAATTTCATAGTAAAAGAGATGTTTGTCCAAGTCATTGTTGGTCCCTGTATGCTCTCGTCTTACATCTCTAAGACCTTTTCGAGTCTGGTCCTGGGGTCCATCCCTCTCTTTCCAAACTTGCAGAACCTGCAGTTAACTCTGGAACACTGTTTAGCAGGACTGGATTTCTACGTCTTGTTGATAGCAGTCCGGTTATTTAACACGATGCCAACTAGAAAGTCAGAATTGTTAGTTGGTCAGATGTGTTGTTGGTGTTGACACATTCTTTGGTATTAGGGACACATTAGGGACAGGAGACTAGGTATTTCCTCTGGCCTGATGGAAGGATGTAGGGTAAGGCCCTAAGTTGGTTTGCTTATTCCTAAATTGGTTGGATGGTAACAGAGAGAGTAGGCTCCATCATCTCATGCTCATTTGTGAGATGGGCAGAGCTGCGCCGAGTGGAAGAGGCTTAGGCACTCAGTGCAGCAGAGGGGGAAGGAGAGAAGACAGACTGTGGCTTGCACCACAGCTCTCCAGCAAGTGCCTGCAGCTCTTTGGGGAGGTGTGGGGAAGAGGCGGACGCGCATAGAGAGTGCTTCTCCACCCCAGATGCTCATACTCAGACCCCAATGCAAATTACTATGCTGTTAACTCAAATTGAAATTTTTTTTTTTTGAGTTGGAGTCTTACTCTGTCGCCCAGGCTGGAGTGCAGTAGCATGCTCCCCATCACCACAGCCTCCACCTGCTGGGCTCCAGCAATCCTTCTGCCTCAGCCTTCCAACAACTTGCAATTTTGAAGAAACATTAAGGAAGGCATTACCACTTGAGAGAGGCCTGTGTGGGATCATCAGCTTGAGAAAAAGCCATTTCCCTCTCATGCATTGTAGGATAAAGTAGATTAGAAATAAAATCGAAATAGGCAGTACTTTTTCTTCTTTTGACCTATTCATAATCAAACAGTTATGCCATAGGAGTGTCAATAGGATTATTGTAGAATAATCTGTTTTCTTTAAACTATTGGGTTTTGGGCTTTGTGTTTTTATTTGCTTAGGAGCTGAGTAATTGCCTCATAAAACAGCACGATGGTACTATTAACACTCTATTATGAGACCTGTTATTATAGAATGTGCTTCCCTAGTTGGGACAGGGCTTTTTTTTGTTGTTTTGTTTTTTTGGGTTTTTTTTTTTAGTGCTTAAAATAATTAGTTTTGCCAAAAGGGGTTATAATGAATAGTGTGAAATCCTACCTATTTAAAATTAAAAAAGTTTGTAATCTCTTGGGTGGCTTTTACGCATCTTTTGATACTTACTGGGAAATGTTTCTTTTGTGTACAATGGGAGGAGATATACTTAATGTTCAGAGTGGAGGAAATATTTTAATTTTTGTCATATCTATCTAAGACACATTTGGGATAATTATTAAAGAATATCCCCACTGTTCCATCTGATTTGAGTGTTGAATATTTAAAGGGTTTATTGACCAAATAACCTCCAATTTGAAAATTTGGGGACTTTATAATGAATGATAAAAAAGTTTAACTGTGAAGTATATGGCAATTTGTTTCTGAAATCATCTAAAATTGTGTTCGTGTGTGTATTTGTTTATCTTTGTGGTCCATGCTGCTAAACTTTTCTTGCCATAAATTTTAGGCATACTTGAAGATATGAAAATAGTTCTTAAATAAAAAGTAATATTTCTAAATAGGAATTCACTATTATTTTCCTCCTTGTGTTGAAAAGCTGAACGATGTTGGCAAGTATCGTTGTGGAATGAAAGTAGGCTTTTTGTTATTTTGAATATGTGAATTTTATTTATTCTGTGGAAACAGAACCTGCCTTTTAGCCTGACTCTCAGAAGGTACCATTGGTACGCCTGAGATACAGCAAAACTCAAGATGTGCACAGAAGTGATAAAGATGCTAGTATGCAACAGGTTAAATTTGAGTCAAAGAAAGCTAGAGAAGAGATAATTAGCACATGTATAATTAATGGCAAAGTCAGAAATTGCAACAGTTGCAATGTAGGTAGTTAGTCTTTGTTTCCTGGCTTGGGTTAATTCCTTATGAATGTTATTTTGATCCTAATGCAAGGGGAAAACTGTTTTTAATGAATAATAATTATAGGCCCTTCTCTTTGGACTTATCATCTGCCTTGGTAGTTACCTTAAAGATAACAATACCACCAGTTTTGGTCTGTTAGTTTCACCTTCTCAAATGTCTTTTCAGTTTGTCCTCAGAAAGATCCCTGGGATAGGATTGTTACTGTTACTCCCATGCTTCTAAACTGATGATGAGATGACAGAGCTGAGCCATGAGAGGTCGTGTCCTGTGCCCACTTAGAGTCTCCTTGCTTTGCTTTTGCTCTGCCCCTCCTGGGGCTTGACATAGTAACACAGTACTCTATGATGAGAACAATTTATCATGATGGAGTACTTAGATTGCTGACTTACTGTGGTACCTGTGACTTTTTTGGTCTTCACCTTTTTAAAAAAAATGGTGGTTCTCTTGCAGGAAGCCAGTTGAGGGAAGTTCTCCATGAATGTACGTCACAATGATGATGACCGACCAAATCCCTCTGGAGCTGCCACCATTGCTGAATGGAGAGGTAGCCATGATGCCTCACTTGGTGAACGGAGATGCAGCTCAGCAGGTTAGTGTGGGAAGAGGGAGCTGGAAACCGAATTGTCTCAGTGGAGACAGTAACCCAGTATTGATTCAAAGCTCTGTGATTTTGAACTCTAATATTTCTTGAGGTCAGTGTGTTTGCTGTAGAAGCACTGTATGGGCTTTTTAAATATTAGAAATCATGGTTTTCGAGAACAGAACATCTTTCCTCATCCAGTTAGTGTTTCTGAAACATCAAAAAATGTGTGATTTTGGAAGAGTCACTCTGAGACCATGCACAAGTCTGTGAAATGAAATGACCGTTCATTCTTGTCTTATACTATGCTTGACTGGTTTGCCTGGTTGGCCAGAGCAGTGTGCTCAGAGGGCTAGGTTTTAGTGTCACACATGACAGTGTGACCCCTCCCCGGCTCCTAGAACCCTGCCTTCCAAATGTGTAGCTCATAAGATAATGGTATGTATTTTCTGTACTCTCCTTTGTTATTCGTATTTGAACATTATGGACTAGGAGAGTTATTTGTGAATTTAGTCAAGTAGCACTTGGGACATTTTTTGAACAGTAAGTAAAAGTTTTAAAGTTTTGTAATGAAACATTTTATCTTGGTGCATTCTTTAGAATAGGGGCTCCCAACCCCCCAGAGAGAGAAACTGGGCAGCACAGCTGGTGAGCGGTGGGTGGACAGAGTACCATCTTCTGTCAGATGGGTGTGGTGGGCGGAGCTCATCTGCATTAGATTCTCATAGGAGTGCAGACCCTGTGGTAAACTGCCCGCACAAGGGATCAAGGTTGTGCACTCCTTATGAGAATCTAGTGCCTGATGACCTCTCCCACTTGGAAGACTTGTCTTCCATGAAACTGGTCCCTGATGCCAAAAAGGTTGGGGAACGCTGCTTTAGAAGTATAGAAGTAAATGTTTGCTGTATGAAAAACAGAATTGGGAATCATTGCTTGGGAAATATGTACCCAAAATATATTAATAGTTCAAATAAGTTAACCAGTCTATGATGTCAGCACATGCCTTCCTATGCCAGTCTGTCATGGTGTATTCACACTCTGTCATAGTACATTAATACTTTGAATAAACCTCTGCTGGAGCTTACCTTGGTGCTTCATTATTTATATTTCTCCTGCATTTGGCTGTGAACCTCTTAAGAACAAAGAATACCTAACAGGTCCTCAATAAATGTTTTCTAGTTGGGCACATTTTATGCCTCGCCCTACAGGTGCAGCCGTCTCCCTTCTTGATTCCAACGTCTCTTCCTCTACCAGGTCACTTCCACCAATACACTATAGCATCTTTTATCTTAAACAACTGCACCTGGCCCCACCCAGACACACAAGCTTCTCACAAGTCCACATCCCCTTCCAGGTGCCACCTTCTGTCCCTGTGTCCCTTTTTAGGTATCTCTAAGTAGAGCCTGTCCTTACTGTCCCTCTTCTTACCTGTGATCCCTCAACATCACAGTCCTCACTTCCTCTGCAGTCTGTCAGCACATCCTGTTGGCTTTCTCTCAGGAGAATGTGGGAAGTCCATATTCTGCCATATCGACTTCATTTGTACTACCTCTACTGGACCCCACACCGTCATCTCATGGGGAGGACACTCCTCACTGGTCTCTCTGCGTTTCTTATTGTCCCGCACGCAGCAGCCTGAGTGATCTTTTCAAAATACAGGCAGTGTGATGTCACTGCCCTCCTGCAAACCGCCCTCTTACATCTGGATGAAATCTAAGCGTGGTGCTGGCCTGCCAGCCTTATGTGTCAGTCTTGGCCTCTCTGTGTCCGTCATTCTCTGACTACTCTTTTGCTCATTGAGCTCCAGATGATCACGGGAAGGTCACAGAGTGCCATGGATGCTTGCAAGAGACAGTGTTTGGTTTCCTTTGTTTTTACAAATTGTAAAAGAATAAAAAGGGACGAGGTATTTGAATTTGGCTAAACTTAGGTCTCCCAAATGTAGTCCCCTCGTTCCCATTTGCCTGCAGACAGGAGCCCTGGGGTTGCCTGTCCATGTCGCTGTGCACTGTTTTTGAATCCTCACAATTTCTCCCTCCTTCCTGTGATTCATTTTGCCCAGAAGACCTTTTCTAATTTATCAGCCAGTGTAGAGACCCCTCAGCTACAGAATTTTCTAGTTTTCCCTTTAAAAGTAAACTCTTTTGCACATAGAAATGACCAAATACCGAAAAGACTGTGGACATTCTCAGAAGGCTGTGCGGTATTTCCCTAATTTGTATATCTCACCTCTACTCTAAGCAGAAGCTACTTAACAGTTTTGGTTAATAAAAACACATTTTTAAAGCTGGGCAAGGTAGCACTTGCCTGTAGTCCCACCTACTTAGGAGGATCCTTTGAGCCTAGCAGTTTGAGGCCAATCTTGGCAATGCAGTGAGACCCTGTCTCTAAAACAAAAACAAAAAAGCACATTATTTTATCTGGGAAGCTTTCTATAAAGCTAACTAAAAAAGGGATTATCTGTTAATTTGTCTGTTTTATAAACCAGATATCAAGCTTTGTCAAATGGGAGTGTACTTCAGAGAAATCTCATGGGCAGAGATCTCACGGAAAGAGCTGTTTGTCTTTTTAATTTAGTAAATATGTTTGATTATGTTAGATACATGAACATCTGTGGGCTGACCTACTATTTGGTATTCACCCCAAATTTTCCTTTATGGGGCAAAACTGTTAAGTGGGCCAAGTGCATGTGGAACGTCCCTCTCGGTGCGACCAGCCCAGGAATCAGCATGCCTTGTCCTTGCCTCTGCATCACTGGGGCTAAGCCTCGGCAGTGGCCTGGCTGCCTGATGTGTTTCTTCCTCTTCCTGCCCAGAGTCCCTGTTCTATACTGCTCTTACTCTTTCAAGTCTCTTCTTTTCTTTGGGTCCTGAAATTTAGCCTTGGCCTGCGTGGATGTGGCAGAGGCCTGGGGCCTGCATGTGAAGCCTGGGCTAAGGCGTGAGGGAAGACAGACCGCAGGAGCAAGTCAGACCAGAAATGGTGGAGAAATACAAGGCGGGGAGGGGGAGATCGGGGGTAGAGTGTCCCCCAAAAGGACAGGGAGCAGGGGAGAGTCTCCAAGATGGGCCCTCAGAGTGTGGGCTGCGTGAGTTTTGAGTGCTTGCTCGGGGCACCTGTGGGTGCTGCTTGCTCTTAAGAGCCTGCATGGTGTGGTGCGCAGGTGGGTGTGTGTGAGGGGGTCAGGACATGGGGCACACCAGAAAAAGTGATCGACAGGGTGTTTCCTGAGGTTTTGCTGTGCTCTTCTGCTGAGGAAGCACATTTCCATCTTAACAGGAACCTTTTGGAAGTACAGATTTGCCTTCAAGTTCAAGGTGGACATTGCAGGCATTTAGGCAGACCAGTGGGGGAGACCTTTTAAGGTGGGTGGCAATTTAGGCACCTTTACATCATGCTGTTGTAAGGAACCGTCCACTGGCTACAGGCTTCCGTCTCCAAATGTCTGTTAGGAGTGTGTATGGTGAACTACCTTGCATGTGTTTATAGTGTTCTTAATACTTTTCAGCTGTGCAGAGGACATTCTAAATATTTCTGTCTATGTGAAAGAATCACCAGTTACGAGAAGGCTCTTCAGTTCCCATACCCTCCCCCTCCTGATTTGTGTCCTGTTGGTTTCTGGTTTTAATTAGGACTAGTTCTTGGCAGGATTTTCTGCTGTGTTCTGGCTCTCTACAGAAGAGACTTCTTAATTTTCATTATTTGAAGTTGCATTAAGTTTGAAACCTTAGTTTGTCATTTTATGTAGGTAGCAGGAAAAGGAGAAGCATGAAGAGGATGATTCTTTTCTTAAAAGAAAAGTCATCCTCACTAAGAGTGGGCCTTTAAAGATATTATCAACTGAAAAAGAAGAGCAACAGCAAGAAACACTGTTAACAGAAGCAGCTTACTCAACAGCTTTACGGCTTTACTTATTTAGCAGCTGGACTGAGGTATAATCCACATGCCACAAAATTCACCCATTTAAAGTATACAATCAGTGGAATCTAGTGTCTTCACAGCATTATACAACCTTGACTACAGTTAATTTTAGAACCCTTTTATCACCCTAAAAATAAACCCTGCAGCAGTCACTCCCTGTTTCCCCCATTCCTACGCAACCTTTAATCTATGTTCTGTCTCTGTAGATAGATTGCCTATTCTGGAATTTCAAATTGATGAAATCACACAATATTTGGTCTTCTGTATGGCATCTTTCACTTTGCATAATGTTTCCAGGGTTGGTCCATGTTGTAGTATGGATCAGTAGTATATTCCTTTCTTATTGCCAAATAGTATTCCTCTGTTTGGATATACCACATTTTATTAGTTCATTCATCAACATTTGAGTTGTTTCTACATCTTGGCTATTATAAATGATGCTACTATGTGCAGATTCTAGTGTGAACTTACTTTTATTTCTCTTGGATATGAATCTGGAAGTGAAATTGAGCAGCTTTATTTTGAACTATTGTTTTCTAAATAAAGTATCTCTGCTTTTTCTCATCAGTAAATTCTACCTCTGAGTAATTACAGCCCAGCATAACTAAATAAGTTTGCTTCTCTTAATATGCCTAATTGTATACTATCCTTTAGTTATAAAAATCAAGTTTCAACCTGAGTTTTTAAGGTGTGGCTATATAAAATATGGAGAATGCCTCTCAATTATCAGAACATTGGTGCCTATGTTGACATTTTCAAAACCTAATAGTATATTAATTTAATTGTCTTAGTTATAGACTTCTAGCATGTTTTAGAGATTTAAAAACGTAGCAGCTAGTTTTGAGCACAAAAGAGTTGGCATCAGTTTAAATTCTAACTTTTAAAATTGGCTTAATGTTTTAATACTCTCTGAAGAAGAATTATAACAGCTACCAGTCAGATAAAGAAACCATTAGGTAGCTGGGCTCGGTGGCTCAGCCTGTAATCCCGTGCCTTTGGGAGGCTGAGGTGAGTGGATTGTCTGAGCCCGCAGGTTCGAGACCCGCCTGGGCAACTTGGTGAGACCTTATCTCTACAATAAATCAAAA